TGAGTGGTACTCTAATGTATATATATTCCTTACTTTCTTTATTCAATCTTCCATTGAGGGGCATTTAGGTTATTTCCAGGTTCTGGCTATTATAAATAATGCTGCTATGAACATAGTTGAACAAATGCTTTTGTTGTATGATAGGGCATCTCTTGGTATTATAATAATAAGAATAAGAATAAGAATAAAGAAAAAACAAACAAAAAAGATATTTTGTATATTAATACAATTTTAGAACATATTTATCGTATTGCATTATATATTTCTACCTGTGATCAAGATATTTATACATTGTTTATATTTTGAGGTGATTGTACTCATTTCTTGTTTAAAGATTGATTAATATTCTAATATGAAGTCTTAGTCTTTAAGTTATGCAGGTATTAAGTATTATAGGTCAATAGTCATCCATGTTTGTCATACTTATAGTTAAATTATTCAGGGTCTTTAGATACATAGAGATAGACTGTATCTATCCATGTAGATAGGTAATCTTAAACCACTTCAAAGTTCTGTAGAACATGGCATTTAAATATTTTAGGATGATGTTAATGTGAGACACGATTGCTCTTGGCAGCATGATCTATTCCTGAGAGAGTGTTGAGCACCAAAGACACTCTACTTGGAGTTTGTTTTCTTCTTGGCACAACTGCCTTTTTGCCTATGCCTTGACCAATGACAAAGTGCACAATGTCCAGACTTGACCCAGCAGGATACAAGAAAAATGACTGCCAAACCTTCCCAAGACAGGGTAAGATGGTTCTGAAAATTTTTCTGCCTCTGAAAATGGTCTGTCAGTTACTCTAGGTCTTAGCCAAAGTTGGTTGCTTCAACATTGCAAATGAGACTTTGAGTGATTGCCTAGGCAGCCAGTTGTCTCTGTCATCTACTGTACATTTTGGAATTGCTTGATTGTACTTCCTGCCTACTCAAGTAATATTATCTCCCTTCTCCAGTCTTAATGGGGTTGAAGACTAGATAGTCATCATTACCATCCTCTTATGATCTATTCAAGCCATTTCGACTACAATCTTAGACTCCTTAGGATGGAATGCTTATTAAAACATTAGGATATATTCCTTGCTTAATACTGTTTATGCTGGCTGTAATTCTAACTTTATACTTAATATCTGTTCCTAGTGTACATAGTTTTTTATTAGGTTTGGAACTCTCTTATTTAAACAAAAGGGAGAGGTGCTATGGGAGTTCCTTCAGCCTATAGCCTTTAAGATACCAGCTCACTTGGGCATGGTCTCTTATAGAATAAATACAGCTGTAAAGAGGGTGTTGACTCTCTCTCTTTGGACTCTCATTTCTGGCTGCTAGCTTTAGTTCCTGTTTCCCACTCATGCAGAGGACTGTGATCTGTGAGCCTACCCCTAAATAAATAACTCTTTTTATACATAATCCTGATTTAGTGTGGGATTATTATGTAATTTACATCATCAAGAGGAAGTATTTTTAGCTAAATGAACATAAAATACACAAAATTATTTTTTCTTAATGGTCTTTTGAAACAATGTCTCGTATAGCCAACACTGACTTCAAACCAACCATACAAGCAAAGATGATCTGGAAACCCTGACACTGACTCTATGTCTCAGAGTTGGATTTGCATTCAAGTGTCACACGGCCAAGGTATTTTTTAATTTTTAAAATAAGTGATGTTTGAGACATGCCCAAAGTACTTAAACATATTTATACCATCAGTTGGCCATTTTAGTGAAATAAAACCTTCAATGATCAGGTAAATGTATAGTCTATCATTCTATTTAAATATATGGCATTACATAATGGTGAAACATTTTAAATATTCTCTACTAAGACTTTTGAAATCTCTAGTGTATTCTAGTCCATCATAAGGAACTCTCTGTACTGCAGAGCACAGGGCACCATCTTTCCTGATTGGCTGCACCCTGTACATGCCCAGTTAGATTAATGTAGCACTCAGTACTATTCCTGGGTCTCCTGGACTTGTATTCTCCCAGAACTCACTGATAATTTTCTCCTTTTGTCTCTCTTCTTGCAGTCAAGTGTAGATGACATACATTTTGTCACAACAGTAGAATAACACTACTATCCCCACTAACCACTGACCACTGCATTATCAGATGTATCAAATGTGTTGTATAGATAGAATTAAATACTTGTAGTGCAAGTGTGAGCTACCCCTCTCTACTCCTCAGGGTAGAGAAGACGTGGAAGATGGATTAGGAGGCTGGAGAGGAAATGTCAGAAGCAGGTCAATAAAGGACATAAGCAGTAATCTAACTTTTAGTGAGTATTCATGAGCCTAACACTGACATGGCAACACTGAGGAATGTGGGGTACAGCATGGGGTGGGTTTGTGAGAGGGTTTGTGGTTGAGATAAGAATGCTGGTTACCTGTTTCAGGTCTTCATAGCACAAAAGCAGGAAGTTGTCCCTTTCTCTCATGGACAGCCAGGCACGGGTGTGCTCAAACCACGAGCCATATAAAACTGTGTGAAGGAAGGAAGAAAGTGTTGATTACAAAGAATAAAAGTGAGCACTGCCTGATATTCTTCACTTTTTTGCAAATGGTAGATACCTTTATTAAGAAAAATCAAACTGACATTTACAATATTCAATGTAACATATGACACATGCACAGATAGTGAGCTGATAAAATCAAAAACACTAGTAAACTCATCACCCCACTGCTTTACCACTGATGCCATGAGGAGATATCCTCCTGTTGGGAATCAATGACTCAGGCATGTGTTGGGAAAATCTATCATACCAATACAGTAAACCAGAGGTTTCTGGACATGGTCAGGCTTAGACTGTTTAATTCCATCATGTCTGAAGAATCATCTTACCTAATTATGAGGGAGATCCCCTTCTACTGGCCTCCACCTCTAAGTTACCCCCACTACTCAATAGTCACTCTTCAACACCCAAACCTCCAAAACACAGACAACTAGAGACCTTCCAAGCATAGACATCCACCTTCACATCCAAATTTCATTTACATTCCTATGGCTATTTTGATGTGTTCACAATAGTTCCTGGTTGAGTGCACTGTCTTATTGTCTTAGCCTCCATTTTACACTTGCATTGTTACCCGTTATCTGAAGAAATAACTGGATCAAATCAGAAAGAAGGTAAGAGTTAAGTCAGGGTAAGAGCAGTAGAATAAACGAATTCAAGGATTCTAAGATTTAATTGAAAACTGAGGGTAAATGATCTACGGAGAAGTTGTAGTGAATTCTACAAGAAATGGCAGAATTAAGTCACTTAAAGAGATTGAAAGTTGGTCTCAGATGAAGGTTCAGTGGAATGTATTTGCCTTGTAAGTGTGAGCACCTGTGTTTGAATCCTCAGGAACCATTGAACAAAGTAGCTATCAAGGCTCAATACCTAATGTTGTTGCTTGTCTTCCACATTCAAGCTTTGGCCCAAGAACAGACATAGTCACACATTTGTTTCCATACAATCATGGACACACACACCTATGGCATTAGAAAAGGCTAAAAGCCAAACCAGAAGTGGTGTCATACATCTGAAATATTAAAAGTCAGGAGTTAGTGTTAAGAGAAGACAAGAGGTTCAGTGTCATTTCCCACTACATTGTGAATTAGTGGCAAACTTGAGATACACCTGATCATGTCTTAAAATAAGCAAAAAACCAAAAGCATGTTAGTGAGAGCATCAAACATAAGGCAATGACATAATGTTGCTGAGAATTAAAATTTGTTCTGCTTTAGAGGTCATTTTCAAAGATAATGTGTTTATTTGGAGGCTGAGATTACAAAGTATATGTCAATAAGTCTGTCTCTGTTATGTAGAAAAGGATTACTTGAACGACTGATCCACTGTATCCATCCCATAAATGTCATGAGTGAAGGCTTTTACCATATTACTCAGCCTGAATATATTATTTTCTAAAACTGTAATAGATATATATCAAGTTATGAGACCTAGTGTTGTTGCTGTACCCAACAACAATAATTCACAAAGTCTGAGTGTTAGTGGGGAAACAATGGTCAAAAAGCAAGCAAGTAAGTAACTGCCTCCTGGTCAAGTGTTCTAGTGGAACAAAAAAGGTTCAATGACAGAGTTCAATGACAAGAATGGTAACTTATATGATGTTGGAAAGAATGATTCCCATCACTATAGCAGCAGGTTGAGTGAAACGCTATGAAGGTATGCATCAAGGTTGCATGATAGTGTTAATATCATATCAATGATTACAGTGAGGGACATATATCATCAGGTTGAGGTAGAGAGAGATTGGAGAAGAGGAGAGGTAGTGGAATATATATATAGATAGAGAGAGAGAGAGAGAGAGAGAGAGAGAGAGAGAGAATGTTATACATGGACATTCAGAGAACATGAAAGGCTCTAGAAACTTGTAATTAATAAAATAATTTTAAAAGATTTATTTTATTTTTATTTTTACATTGTTTGCACCTTTTCACATGCTTATGAGTGCATGTGTGTGTATGTGCCCACAGATATTAAAAGAATGCCAGTTCTCCTCAAGCTAGAGATATGAAAAATTGGGAGCCACTAGTTGTGGGTTCTGGGAAACAAGCTCCCCTCCTCTAAAAATCCACAAGTTCTTCTAACCTCTGAAGCATCTCTACAGCCCCTAATTACATAATTATGAAGAGTAATTTATAAAAATAATTTTATTGCACCAGGAAAAGTAAAAATTAACACAAATGGTCTACACAACAAATAAATTTTAAATGAAGAAAATTAAATGGTGGCACTATGAGAACAACAGGTAAGAAAGTACTTACCATATACACCTGATGATTAAACTGTCTCTGTAACCCATATAGATTAAGAGTAGACAATTGACTCCACAAAGTTGTTATTAGGTTCTCACAAAAGTTCTGTGAGATGTGTGTACACACAGAGACACTCTAGCACACAGACACACACAGACACACACACACACACAGACACACACAGCAGATCATAATAAAAAAGATATTTTTGAAGGAAAAATATCACAGTGTGAAGGCAAGGTGGGGGACTTGGGACAATTCAATAACAACAAAGTTGGAATAATAAGAAGACAGCAGTAGGAATTACAAAATATTTGTTCCTCTGTGAAAACATGAAATGCAAGGTTCATAGGTATAGAAAACATTTTTATTATCATATCCCATAGAGAAGAAAAGAGATGTTGTGTTTAGTAGCTTTTAAGGTTAGCTTAACACAACATATAACTATCTTGAAAGAGAATGTGAATGAATAATATTCTAGATAGATTACATTGATCTGTAGGCATGTCTTTGAAAGGTTGTTCTTATAGTTCATTAATAATGTAGAGAGGTGGAACACAATGTCGGCAGCATAATTCCCTACTCATGGTAGTGTAGAAAAGTAGGGAAGAGAAAGTTAGCTGCAAGCAAGAAAGCAGGGCAAACATATTGTCTCTCTGCTCTTGACTGTGAAATGTAGTGCTTTAATTTCCTACCAAAACTTTCCAATAATAAACTGTAACCTGGTGTTGTTAGCAAAACCAAAACCTTTCTTTCTGTTATTGGATTTTCTTTTATTCTAGCCCTGTGTTGGAATGCCAAAACATTGTTAGCTGTTTTACTGTTTTTTTCTTTGCTCTTTTGGGGGTCTGCCACACAGCTCACAAATAAATCAGACATGGAGACTTATTCTTTCTTATAAATGCCAGCCTTAGCTTTGCTTTTTTTCTAGTCAAAAAATAAAATTATCCCATACATCTTTTGCCATTGGGCTTTTACCTTTTCCTATTTCTGCATATCTTTTCTTTCTTTCTTACTCTGTGTCTTGCTATGTAGCTGGGTGACTAGACCCTGAAGTCATTCTCCTTTCCTTTCTCCCCCATCTCTTTTCCTTGAGTTCTCTTCAAATTAATTCTCTCTGCCTACCAGCCATGCCTATCCTTTCTCCTGCCTCAATATTGCCTGTTTAGCTCTCTACTAGAACATCAGGTGTTTGACAGGCAAAGTTTCACAGCTTCACAGAGTTAGACAAATTAAACATAAAAGAATGCAACACATCTTTGAAACATTAAAATAAATGTTCCACAACATAAATGAATGTAACATGTCTTAAAATAATATTCCATAACATCTCTATAAGTTGCTTTCTGTTGGAACAGATGCCAACTCAGATACAGGTGGAAAGTAGGGCACCACAAAGGCTAAAAAAGAATCTTCCCTCAGAATTGTTTATGTAAACAAAGAAAGCACATTGAAAATTGTAAGAGAAAAACACCAAGTCTAATGTAATAGAAGGTCTGTTAGAACTGAGATTTCAACTTTAAAAAGTAGGAGGGACTGGAAATTTGTATTTCAAGTTTTAAAAGTCAACCAATGACATCTCAACTACTGTAACCATTGAAGCCTCTTGTCTTAAGTGGAGGGGAAACAAAACTTTATATGCTAAATATATGTAAAATGAATTTATGAATTCATTTGTACACCAAGGATGCTGTACAAAATATAATTATAGGAGTCTTTTAGACCAAAGAGAAAATCAGTTCTATCTATAAGACTGCAACAAGTATAAGTTAGCTTCAGCAGTCTATTTGACACAAGTTGGAATTATCTGAGAAATTCCCAGTTAAGATATTGTCCCTAGAGAGAGGTGAGTGGGTGCTTGCCTGGGCTCTCTGTCCCAGAAGAGAGCACAACCCCTCCACCCTCAGCTTCTGCAGCAGGGTCTTCGGTGTTCCACGGGTCCCCTTCCCTGAACCCACCGCTGCCGCCCTTTTGTCTCCTGGGTCCTGTAAACACGAGCTAGCCCTGCTGCAGTGCTGAGAAGTTCTATCCAGAGAGGTGAGTGGGTGCTCGCCTGGGTTCTCGGTCCCAGAAGAGAGCACAACCCCTACCGCCTCAGCTTCTGCAGCAGGGTCTTCTGTGTCCCACGGGACCCCTCCCTGCCCCCACTGCTGCCGCCCTTTTATCTCCTGGGTCCTGGAAACACCAGCTAGCCCTGCTTCAGTGCTGAGAAATTCTATCCAGAGAGGTGAGTGGGTGCACGCCTGGGCTCTCTGTCCCAGAAGAGAGAACAGCTCCTACCCCCCCAGCTTCTGCAGCAGGGTCTTCGGTGGGGACCCCTCCCTGCTTCCACTGCTGCTGCCCTTTTGTCTTCTGGGTCCTGGAAATACCAGCTATTCCTGCTGCAGTGCTGAAGAGTTCTATCCAGAGAGTGCTGAGGAGTTCTATCCAGAGAGTGCTGAGGAGTTTCATCCAGAGAGGAGGAGATGGGCAGGCGCCAATGCAAGAATTCCTCCAAAAACCTGAAAGGCAACATGACATCTCCAGAATCCAGGGATCACGAATCTAGAAGATTTGAACACCCTACTCCAGAAGAAATAGGAGAAATCGACTCTAAGCGGACCTTTATGAAAATAATAGAGGAACTTAAACAGGAGGTGAAAATCAGCCATAAAGAAATGGAAGATAAGTATAACAAAAAGATTGAGGAAACGAGTAAAGAAATGGAAGAGAAATATACC